ATCTCCAGCTGCTGCAAGGTAAGAAGGCCCTTGTCGCGAAGATGCCACAACTCTTCGTCTGTCTCCTGGGCCGCTGCGATGTCGCGCGCCAGAAGTGCAGATGGCATGCCGATGGTGCACGCTCGGGAGAACGTGTCCGCGACGACGTTGTCCGTGCCCTTGACGTGACGAAGGATCACGTTCTGCTGTAACAGGTAGTCCAGGTGCCTCTGCTGTCGAGGGGTAGCCTTGGCTGCCGGCTGATTGGCGGCGTAGATGAGTGGCTTATGGTCCGTGCGTAGCTCGAAAGTACGTCCCTTCAGGAAGCGCTGGAAGAATTTTACAGCCGCGTACGCTGCAAGGAGCTCCCTGTCGTAGGTGCTGTAGCGTCTCTCGGTGTCCGTGAGCTTCCTGGAAAAGAATCCCACTGGATACTGTTTCCCATCGATGGACTGTTCCAGGACGGCACCGAGAGCCGTGTCGGAGGCATCCGTATAGAGTATGAGCTGCGAGTCGGGGGCAAGGAACGAGTTCGTCGTTGCCTTGCGTAAAGCTTCCTTGCAGGCGAGGAAAGCTTGCTCGTGCTCCTCGGTCCAGGGTGGAAGCTTGGCCTTCTTGCGCTTCGGAGCTCCGCGAAGAAGGTCGTTCAAAGGCACTTGGATGTGCGCGGCCTTTGGAATACAGCGTCGATAGTAGTCGACCGTTTCCAGGAAGCTGCGCAGCTCTTGGTAGTTCGTCGGCCTCGGAATTCTCTCGATGGCGTCGATCTTCCGAAGTGGTGGCCTGTAGCCGTGTCGCGAGACCTGGTAGCCCAAGAAATCCACCGAATCCTGGCCGATCTGGCACTTCTTAAGGTTGACGGTGAGGCCAGTGTCACGCAGTGCCTGGAACACGATACGCAGGTGCTGCAGGTGTTCCCGATGGTCCTTGGAGCGGATGATGGCATCGTCCAAATACCAACGGACAAACGGCATGTCACGGAAGAGCGAGTTCAAGAAACGCTGCAGCGTTTGCGGGGCGTTTCGGAGACCCAGTGGCATCATCATGAACTCGACGAGGCCGAATGGTGTTGTAACGGCTGTCTTAGCGATGTCCTCCTGCGCCATTGGGATTTGGTAAAATGCTTTTTCCAGATCGATCACCGAGGACACGACGCCGCCGTGGCAATCGTGGAGTAGGTCCTCGATGATCGGGAGCGGGTAGCGGTCTGCCTCGGTGACAGCGTTGAGGCCTCGGTAGTCGCCGGTGACGCGGTAGACACCGGGGCTCTTCAGCACCAGGTTGAGCGGGCTGGCCCACTGGCTCGAGGAAGGCCTGACGATGCCTCGGTCGGTCAGCTCCTTGATGGCGTCCTTGGCGCCCTTGAGGCGCTCGCCATGCAAGGGGCGTGGGCAGTCGAAGACAGGAGGTCCGCTGGTGACGATGCGGTGTCGAACGACCGCTCCGTCGATGTTGGCACGCCGGGAGTTCGGCTTCATGAGGTGGGCGAACTCAACCAGCAGCTCGTCGTATTGGTGGCGAGCATCCAGGTCGCCTCCAGGGTCGTGTAGGATGGCCACCGAGTGCTCCATCGCTGCGAGCTGCAGTCCCTGCGAGCGGAGGCCGGTCGTCGAGTCGACAAGGCGCATGTTCTGCAGGTCCAGGAGTAGCCCAGCGTGGCCCAGAAAGTCGACACCGATGATGGTGCTGTGGATGTCAGCGATAACGAAGGGCCAGGTGTACTCCCTGCGCAGCCCGAGGTTGAGCGCGAGCACGACGCGACCGTAGGTAGCGATGGGCGACATGTTCGCCGCGGTAAGGCTAAGCTCCTGCTTAGCCAGGCGTCCGGCTGTTGGTCCCGGCACTGCCGAACGGGGCAGCAGGGAGATGACAGAGCCGGAATCGACGAGGAAGGTCAGGCCTGAATTCCTGTCCTTTACATGCAGGCGATTTTCCGTGGCGGTGGCGCTGCCGTGAAACGCCTGAACGGACGGCAGCGTCATTAGTTTTTCGGCGCCGAGCTGGCGACGAAAGTGCAGGGCTGACGGCAGCGCTCTGCTGAAGCACCGAAACGATAATGGTAGTAGCAGTGGCCGTCGGGTGCTGGTGAGGCCGAGCGGCTTCCTGAGCCACGGCTTCGGCTGCGGCCACGTCCGGACTGGTGCGAACTAGGGCGCGAGAACTGCGTCGAGGCGGTGACAGCCTCGAGGACCAGCTTCGTGGCTGACAGCAGCTGTGCCATCCCGGCACGCAGATCAGCGATGTCCCCACTGATGGAAGAGCCGGTGGAGGCAGTGCGAGCCGGCGATGTGCCACGTGAGCCCTGCCTCACTGCTGACACGGAGGCGCCTGGCAGCTTGTTTCCGCCGGCGAGGCTGGTGCTGCCGGCTAGCGGCCGATGGAGCAGTCGGTCGAGTCCCCACAGATTTTTATCTTTCGTTTGTGAATATTTGAATTTTGATTTGATCTCTTCAAACTTATTACGTGACATAGCAGAAGAAACAACGTTACAAGATAAAAAGGGATCACGTGACCAGTAATCCCTCTGAGATTTCCTTTTGTTGAATGAAGTCAAAATGATTATTCCCACGAATGTATTTAAGTCTTTTAACTTTAAATCAAAATTATTTTCTTTGCAAGCATCTATAATCTATTGCTTCATTTCAGTTGAGAAAAATGTTTCAAACAGTTCTATTGGCTCCATTTCTTGTATTTTATTTTTTACCGAGTCTTTCAATAAAATTTTGTCTTTCAAATTGTCATTATACTTTTTTTCTCCTTCCATCCACTGGAGTTCATGCGTTCTTTCTAATTTAGTTTGAGTTTCAGTATATGTTTTACAAGCCTCTGTGTACGTTATATTAGAAATTTCATCATCCGAATCAGTATCGAAATCTGATCCATCAGAATCAGAATTGTCAGGATTTGGAAGGGTAACTATATCATCGTAAGTGTTCTTTGAAGTATCAATTTCGTACATTTCATGGGAGCGAGTGGAACGTCTTTTACGTTTTTGCGACATGTTATATAAAATAATAAAAATACCTAATGAAAATAATTACTACAGTTTTCAATTCTTCTTGTCAAACCTAGACTATAGAAAGCGAAAATAATCTTTTCGATTCGATTTACTGTATGCTCTCGAAATAACAAGAGACTAGTAAGTAATAAAAATGAGCTCACATACAATTTTCTGAATTGCTTTTTTGATATGTGTATATTAGTAATCGCTTTACAAACTACACTTGTATACATATAAAAAGGCAAAACATTATTATATTATTGTTGAATGGCTGTTCTTTATTCTGTATCAAAAATATTAACGTTGTTAGGATTATAACATAATTCACTTTTTATCTCGAAAACTATTGAGTTTAGACGAAAAATTTATAGAATAAAAAGTCTTAGAATTCATCAAGGAATATGCCTGAATTTTTTCAGAATTTTTGAGATGATTTTCGAAAAATGGATTTTCCGTATTCTCCGAAAATTTAAAAAATGCTTTGGAAAATTCTGAAAAAATTCAGGCGTATTTCTTGTTTAATTCTAAGACTTTTTTGTTCAATGAACTTTTCATCTAAACTTAGTGGTTTCCGAGATAAAAAATGAATAATGTCTTTTATGGATTTTTTTTATTTTGCCACCATTTTGTTGGAAGAAGTGGTTCAAAAATTCCACCAAAATTCCTGGAGATACTTTGATAGTCGTGATCACCTCTGATCATATTTGTTTGATGATTTTTTAGCGGTAACATTGCTAAAAAAAATCGCAAACGTGATTTTTTGCAAAATTTTTCAGGTTTTTATTGTTTAATTGACTATAACTTTTTTATAACGCAATCAATCGCAATTTTAAAAAAAGATTCTGAAAGAGCGTTAAATTTCCCATCCAAATACGTCTTTGCAAAAATTTCTTAGGCCTATGACTACCGAAAAAAACGTGTTGAAAATCGACAAAAAAATTGAGCATTTTGGTCGTTAATGGGTTGGGTTAACGAGCAAAGGACTCATGTCGATATTAAAGACCGAAAATGAAAGGAGGGACAAGCCAGCCTATGGTATAAAAAGGCTGAATCATCATCTTCCTATTCATTCGAAGATTTGATATCCGATATCTAGATCCGGGATTGTACTCTGCTAAGTACATTGTATCTCAGCATTATAAATTTGTTTTTCTTAAATAATAAATTCTAAATAAGGGCAAACACCCTAGACTCATTTACAAAACCTCCTGAAAGCCTAGTCCGCTCAAGGTAAGAAACATAATTATTTACCTGCACGCTCAATCGATAAGTAATTGTCCCTTTAACCCCCCTTACCCTAGCCCGCAGAATGTAATGGACAGTGAAAAAAAAAATACCATTCAAAATATCTCTAATTGAACCCTCCAAAAATGCTCATTATTTTAATTAAACCCCTTCAGCTGTCTCAAAAAAAAATTAAAAATTATGATAATTTTTTCGTTTTTTGCAACTGCGATGTCTTTAGTGACATTTAATATTTTTGCAAAGAAACAAGGCAAAAAAATTGAAGCCTTGCTCGTTTTAATTGCACCCCTTTTACTTTTTCAATATTATTAATATATATGTTAAAAACAACAATCTAATTTTATTATGTTCTTTCCAAATAGATGGGTTAACGCGCGTGCGTAAATAAAATTAGATTAGGGGCTGATCTAGGGGACGTAAAACCTCCCAGGAATATCCTCTCAGGGGGCCTATTCTGAAAAAAAATTTTGTGGTAAATCAGTTTGTCACTTCAGTTTACCATAGAATTAATCACTTTAGATGTGATAAATGCTTATGACATGTGCTAAAATTTTTTTTCAGAATAGGCCCCCAGTGTGGACATATACCCATATCAAATCAAGGGACATTAAGTGCAAGTGCTCAAATCAATATTTATTTTGCTATATAATGATTTCGTTGTGGGCGAACGAACAAATACAAATAATACTATTTATGGTTTTATTAACGGCAATCTAACTCAATAATTAGTTTTTTAATTATATAAAAAGATAGATTTTAAGTGTAAAATTTTAAGAGCGTATATAATTTTGTAAGATTGTTACGTCTTTAATTTACGTTTTGAAAAAAAAGGAAAGGAAAAGAGAAAAATTGGTTATTTTAAGTGAATTCAATTGAATTAGTTATAAGTTAAGTCAATAAATGAATTGATCATTGAAATCGTTGAAACTATTTTACGTAGGCAAATTAATTTTTGAGCTCATTAATCAACTTATTCAGGTTTAGAAAAAATTAAAATAGATTATTTTTTCAAACTAAGGAAAATGCTAAGCAAATATATTAATCTTTTAAAACCATACAAAGAAAATGTGAGTAATATATCTAAAAGTATGCGAGTAATATATTACTATAATGTATATCTATAATGTGTTTGCGCGCGCGCGCGTGTGTGTGTGTGTGTACATAAATATAAGCAAGTGTAAAACATGAAACCTTAATTTGACTGATTTAAAAAAATTTTTATTAACATAAACTTTTTCAGTTTACATAAACCTTCTTCAATAGTATTGTGTTCTCTTACTTTTAGGAACTGATTGATGATTGATGATTATAAAATATAGAAAAAAATGTTCAAATAAAATAAATCAAAATGTTATTAACAAAATTTTAACATTTTGATACATGTTTTCATATAGACCTATTTTTAAAGTTTTTATATTTTGTTTTCGTTTTGATTTAAATTGATTTTTAATATATTATGAAAATTTTACAATAAATTATAACCCTTTATACACAGCTTCTTTGATGAAAATATGCTTTATGTCATTAATATGATAATAACCTTTAAAACTTGAAATCTTTGTTTAATACAAAATACTAGGAACCTATTATCTGTCTATTACCAAAATCTGTTATGAAGATGTAAATAATTTTTTTTAATTTACAGGGATTTTTATCAATATATTTACATATAAGGGCCTAGAACAAAAGTAATTATTATTTTCAAATATTTATAAAAAAGTTTACAGAACTTATTTTAAAAATTGTTATATTTAATTGTGATATTTCAAAAAACCCAGACTGCACTAATAAAATTGTACTAAAAATCATATTAATTAAACAATAAATCAATTTGATGTGTTTCATTATCAAAAAGTCTACATCATTAAGTTTGTGTAATGTTCCCTTATAATTTAAGTCTACCAATTATGATTATTATTTCCGATGTATATAACTATGATATAATTATGTACAGCATGTATTTATAGAAAAAAAGGTGAATAATAATATATACTTTATTAATTTTGTGGACGAGTATTTAAATTATAAAAAATATATGGAATATAACCCATTGAAATATCTTCCATGAAAGAAAAAGACAATTCCTTCTTTCATAATATAATTTTAACTAAAGCTTAAAAAATGCTTATAAATTATTCATATATATGAATTTTTTTAATTATTTATACTTTATCATTTTGGGAATTTCACATATAAATTTATTTCTACTAATTGGAATCTTAGAAATTTTTGTGAGTATGAGAATAATTTGTATTGAATGTTCATTAATCGCAATATAATGTTCTTATAAAAAAATATAAAGCAGCTGTTGATTGAAGAACAAAATCCTATAAATATATTTCTATATCTTTTCTTAATTTTACTATAATATCCCTGCATTTATGATCTATTGTAATTAAGTGGTGTTTTCATATTCTACCACCACTTATAAATATTAAGCCAGATATTAATTCAATAATATGTTTTATATTTCAATTTACAAGTAAACTCCTCCAACACAATCTCAATGATTTCAATAAATTTTTTATATGTTGTAGTACTAGACAGAATAAGGGACATGATTTTTCTTTTTGTGCCGACATATACTTTTAAAGATAGAAAACCATCCCTAAATCTAATACTCAACATTGTTTTCTCATTATATCTTAGCATCAAATAAATATTTTTTAATAAAACCAAATGGGAAATATTTTCTGTAAGATATTAGGCATATTTAAAACCCAGGGAGTTACAACTCTTATTATATATTTTTTTAAAACTAGAATTTTATTAATTTTGTTTAATGATAACTAAAGTATCAACTCAACAAAAATAAGAAAAGCATATCTATTTACTATATCGAAAATTTAAGTTAACATGCTTTATAGTTTTTTCAATATCCAATCTCCAAACATTGTTAACCACCCCTTAAAGTGGTAAAGCATATTTGGTGATTAAACGTTAATTTTTTTCTTAAGATTTATTTAAAACAGAATATAATTTATACCAAAATTAAACATATTACATATTTTTTGCAATAGTAGTATTAAACAGTCACCTCTAAAAATGAATTATCTAATATTATTTAATATTTAATCAATATTTTTTTATAAAACTGATTAAAAATTATTTCTTATAAACTTTATATTATTATTTGCTTTTAATAGTTTAGTTACAGTATCTTATTCCACAAAGTGTTGACAATGATACTCTTGAAAAAAATGTTTAAAATATAATACTATTTTTACATGAATCACATTGTATAATAGCAATGTTGTTACATTCTTCTACTCCACTCTTTATATTCCAAGAATCTCCAAAACTGAACTCAACAGGATTTACACGTTTACCCAGTATTTTATCAATGTAATCGCTTCTGTACCAAAAATATTTAAACATATTTTTATATCTCGGTGAAGAAAGCTGATTATGAACAATAGATTACATTTTATGATGTTTTTTAAATGTAAATTTAAATGATAATCCATTAAAGTCTTTTGATTTGAAAAATGTCGTACAAAATTTTTTCAGATAAGAATGCTATATGCAAGTGGTTGAATCTTTCCTGTTGGTCCTGTTGGTATTTGTTTTACATTAACAATTTTATTTTTTCGCATCGTTTTCTTTACAATTTTTTCACTGTGTCTACTCTAAAAATCGAGTAATAACTTTGCCCATAGATAAAACAGCTTAACGTGTTAGAAAAATACTTGACAATTCATCATTATGAATGCCTTTTTCATAGTATGTTACAATCAAAGAGGTATCCATCAGCACCACAAATTCCAAACTCTTTTATACAACATCGAGTTGGTTTGTTTTTTATAAATTGTTTGATCTACAATTTTTACAAAAAAATTTAATCATTATCGTCTATCGATAATCCTGTCTGAAAAAGGTCAAACTGTTTTATATTTTTCCTAAAAATTTCTAATATAACTCAACTCTCCAAACACGATCTTTTTTATTTTTATCTGTAGGTTTGGAGCATTTGATTTTTGATTTGATTTTCAACAACTTTTTTAATGATATCAATTATGTAACCACTGGGTACTCGAGCAACTCATTGTTAGACCAATAATCTTTGTCAGATGTTCTTTTGTTGAATGCAGAAAGAATAATAATGGCAAAAAATTTATTTAGTTCTTCTATTGTTATATCTAAACCATTAAATTTTGAAGCTTCAATGATATATTGTTTTATATTTTTACAAAAGAACATTTCAAATAATTCAACAGGAGTACTATTAGCAATTATTTTACGATCTTTCTTTTTTAACAAATATTTATTAGCTAAAATCTCATCATACTTTTTCTCTTCATCTGTCCAATCATGTACATGATCTTCTTGAAAACGTTTCTGAATCTTAGAGTACCATTTTTTGGCTTCATGGTACGATTACAGTTTTTCAACGATTTCTCGAACATCATCTTCATCATCAGCGTTGTCACTTTCATCATTATTATCTTCATCACCAACATCTTCAGAATTGTCAGATTCGTTTTCAGATTCTGAATCTGAACTCTCAGGATGAGGTAGCATAACAACATCTATTGTGTCATCTTTGCAGATACTTCGCAAGATTCACTTGAAAATGCAATTTGTTTTTTATTTTTACACTTTTTTTGAGGTAAAATGCGTTTTATCCAAACATAATACTGCGTTCAGTAATTATTTGAGAAAACCAAAATAAAAAAAAACCTAATTACAAGTAATTACCTTTTATTGGACAAACAACTACAAATTTTTTGGTTAAATTTTCTTTGCTAATCTATATTAGATGTTGTGACGGGGATCCAGACTTCTCCATGGTGGGTGATGCTAAATAGCTACTCGGCTCGTTGCAGGCTCGGTATTGGGTTACGCGGAACCCAGCCCAGTGTCTCAGCTATGCCACTTGAAGGCGTCCTTGCCTTCGGCCCGCGGAGAGCGTCGCAGGTCAGGTAGTTTCTGGCGGTGCGAGTCAGCACGTGTATAGCGCGGGAGGGGAGAACGCCGAAAGGAAAGACACTGTGGTTAAGAGAAATAGCATTTACTAAAATGAAGGAAATAAAGGAAGCGTACAAATGATATGCGCCGTGAGAGAGACAAGCAGGAAGCGAGCGAGAAAGAGTTAGATAATCGAGCAAGTAATCGCTTCAGAAACACACAAATATTCAGCCTCGGGGCAGCCTTCTCGACCCGATGAACAGTTCGTCCGCACGCACGCACACAGCACACAGCCCGCAGGATGCACTTCGATGCCACAGTCTTCCACGCGATCACGCACACTCTGCACTCTCGGTACCTAACGATAAAAACGCAGGATACGTAGCACAAAGGAATCTACCGATCGCGCGTTGACAGCTCGACGTATGCCGCGAAGGCGGGCAGCTAATTCTTCTTCGCACGCGGAAAAGGTCCCCCTCTCTCTCCTTGGCTATTCGGCAGCGGAGCGTCTCAGCCAATTAGGCAAACGCGCGCGACATTCATGCGTCCACACACTCACGCATACACGCGGTTCTCTCTCTCTGCTCGGCGCTCTCTCACTTACCTCGTGTATCGTCAGCAGCTGCGGCTAGATAGGAAAAATACATAAGAGAGTTATTAATAAATTATAATTGACTTAAGGGAAGAGAGAGAGACATAACGAGACTCGACTCGTTATAATGTGTACAAGAAAATTTAAGGGAAATGAATAGATATTACACCACCTCAAATAAAAAATATTAAGTTGATAAACTACACGATATACGACTATAATATGATCATAAATTTTTTGAAATTATACTTTTACACAAAAAGAAATTTTGTTTGGAATAAATCCCTTCTGAAAGGCTTTCAAAAAATCGCTCTAGTAAAATCACAGTGATAACAATTATATTTTTCAAAATAGCATATGCTACAAAAAATATCCACAATAGGTACAAGTTGATGATATTATTGTAATTGATTTTAATAAATTGAAACTGAAAATTATTGTTTAATACTTGCTTAGTAATGTGTTACGGCCGAGGTCTTCATCCATAACAAATGTTAAATTGGTTATTTGAAGTAAATAAATCTTTCTCAAAATCAACTATTATGGAACTCTTCTGCTCAAAATTAT